TAGTTTACAAATTTATTTTACGTACCCAAATATTTATTTTATAAATTTATTTTATAAACCTAAATATTCATTGTATAAATGTATTTCATAAACTACGTTTAATTTAAAATAGATTTATAAAATTAGATTTATTTTATACATCTAAATATCTAGTTTACAAATTTATTTTACGTACCCAAATATTTATTTTATAAATTTATTTTATAAACCTAAATATTCATTGTATAAATTTATTTTATAAACTACGTTTAATTTAAAATAGATTTATAAAATTAGATTTATTTTATACATCTAAATATCTAGTTTACAAATTTATTTTACGTACCCAAATATTTATTTTATAAATTTATTTTATAAACCTAAATATTCATTGTATAAATGTATTTCATAAACTACGTTTAATTTAAAATAGATTTATAAAATTAGATTTATTTTATACATCTAAATATCTAGTTTACAAATTTATTTTACGTACCCAAATATTTATTTTATAAATTTATTCTATAAATATAAATATTCATTGCATAAATGTATTTCATAAACTACGTTTAATTTAAAATAGATTTATAAAATTAGATTTATTTTATACATCTAAATATCTAGTTTACAAATTTATTTTACGTACCCAAATATTTATTTTATAAATTTATTCTATAAATATAAATATTCATTGCATAAATGTATTTCATAAACTACGTTTAATTTAAAATAGATTTATAAAATTAGATTTATTTTATACATCTAAATATCTAGTTTACAAATTTATTTTACGTACCCAAATATTTATTTTATAAATTTATTCTATAAATATAAATATTCATTGCATAAATGTATTTCATAAACTACGTTTAATTTAAAATAGATTTATAAAATTAGATTTATTTTATACATCTAAATATCTAGTTTACAAATTTATTTTACGTACCCAAATATTTATTTTATAAATTTATTCTATAAATCTAAATATTCATTGCATAAATGTATTTCATAAACTACGTTTAATTTAAAATATATTTATAAGATCAGATTTATTTTATACATCTAAATATCTAATTTATAAACTTATTTTAAATTACAAGTGTGATGTATAAAATAAATATTTGGATTAAAACCTTACATCATTTTCACTGTTCTTATATCCAAAACTAAAACAAGAAATGAAACAAGACCGGCTATAAAAGCAATGACTAAATAACTTAATACAATTTAACGAAGCAGTATTTTAGAGTGACGTTTGTTAACAACGTACACGTTCTTTGGTATCATAAGAAGAACTGAAAACTTCGATGAAAGCACTGTTGCAATTTCGCTGAAAAATGATCGGTCAGTCACCGTGTCTGCTCGTCATTTCAGAGGTAGGATGAAGATCACCGGTAAGATGAAGATGAGTTTGCTTCGGATTTCGTCCTCGGTTACAGTCCATCACGAAGGGAGTTATCGTTTAAGATGGCGGCTACACTGACCAACTCGTTCTCTCTACCTAAAGTCACATCCCTACCTTCCTCCGGGTCACTGATTAGTGGAACTAATTACTGGACTCGCTACTCGCTCCCTTAGATCTAAGATGTCTCTGCTTCTGGAGCTGCGCACTGCACCCGCTACACGCCAGTGGTTCTTATTAGACCGCAACATAAATGTTGAGTGACAACAGCGTTGAATTTATATCTATCTTTGAAATATGTTTTGAGAAATCTAAATTCATTATTTATAATTTTACTTCACATGTTTGTGTCACATTTGCAGCAATTAAATTTAAGCTCTGATCGCAAATGTAATTTATTTTTTATGTTGCTTTACTTTGTGTTTTAATTCTTCTGGAAATATTTATATTCGATTTATTCGATTATGTAAGTGTTAGAAAATAGCTTCCTTTTGAAATGTTGTCGAACCTTGCTCTATTATTTTTTTTATTGATAGTAAATATATAGGAAAATATATAAATAAGTAAGTTCTTAATAAAGATAAAATTTCTGAAACGAAGAAAAAACAAAGAAGAACCTTTATTAGACTCCGTATCTCTCTTATTATTTTTATTATTATTTTATTTTCATTTTCATGCGTCATTTTAAAAAAATTAGGATTGCAGAAAAATTTCCTGCGACTGTTCAAAGAATACACTTGCGTTGTAAAAATCTGGCCATGCCTTAAACGCATGAGGATCCACAGCCTACTCGAACAAATATTGAAGAAATATTTTACGATCCTGGCACTGGATAGAAATTCGATTAACCGATACATTAAACGATGCGTTGATCGAACTTTTACTCTTTTCTTTCAAAGCGAAAGATGCAAATGTGAGAACCACTGGCCCAAAGGGTACCGCCACAGCGAAATGCCGCATTGCTCTCCGCCAATTATCCACCACCACCAACTTCTCTCTTTCCTCGTGGATTCTCTTCTCTTACGTCCCTTCTTCCTTCCCCTTTCCCGCCAAATTCCTGTTACCCATAGATTTATTTGTCAAGGCAGCACGTGCCCATGCGTAAAACGAGCCCATAAAAAATACTCGTTTAGTCGCACTCGCAACTTCCGCGAGCCGAACAAATTCGTGTAAACGAACTTTCGGCAAGGGTCGAAACTCAACTATATTGTAGGATTCGATACGGTCATGGAACTGTCTGAATTACTTCTTCGAAGAGGAAATACTTTTTAGAATTTACTCGACGACTTTTTCTCGTGCAGCACGTATAACGATACATAGAAAATTAATAACCAAATTTATGTCTCTCGTATTTTAATGTTTTATTATCACGATTCATCGTTCTATTCCTTTGTTGTCGTTTTAAAAATGTAACGAATTTATTTATCGTCATTATCGCTTTCATACAAACCATTCAAGGTATTGGGTTGGCAACTAAGTAATTGCCGATTTCAGTTATAGATGTCTCTCACTCCCATTTTTATGATATCCGTAAATGTTATATTATAAAATTATTATTATTATTATTATGTTATTTTTTATTATCCGTGAATGTTAACAACTGGACAAATTGAATACAGCGGTCAAGGAAAAGCGACCAGAATTGGTCAATCGTAAAGGTGCCATTTTCCACCAGGACAATGCTAGGGCGCACACGTCTTTGTCCACTCGGCAAAAATTGAAGGATATTGGTTGGGAATTGCTGTTACACCCACCATATAGCCCTGATCTCGCGCCATCGGATTACCACTTATTTTGATCCCTGGACAACTCCCTTCGTGGTAAAACTTTTAATGATGACGACGCTGTAAAATCTCACTTAACTCAGTTTTTGGCCGAAAAGGATCAGACTTTCTATGAGCGTGGAATTTTCAAGTTGTCAGAGAGATGGCAAAAGGTCATCGAACAAAATGGAAAATACATTACAGATTAAACTTCGTTCCAAGTAAAAAAAATTTTTATTTCATTGAACAAATCGGCAATTACTTAGTTGCCAACCCAATATGAAGATCGAAACTGTGTTTCACAAGACGAAATATTTCGAGATCAAGTTCCTCGAGAAAAATTAATGTTTTCAGCACTTTTATTGTGTTGTACAGATTTATTGCTAAACACGTGAGAAAAACTTATTATCCGTGAAGAAATAATATAATATATATAATTCTATATAGAATATAGAAACAACATTATTTGCATTTGACGAGTCCCCAATTTTAATTTGTTAATATAATTATTCCACATTTTTTACCCTTCGCGAATAATTTAACAATCTGGTTGTTGTAACAACACAGTGATATCCCGATTGTTTCCTAAATCGAATATGAAACGACTTCCCTCAATATTCATGAATATTTGTCCGATCGCAAATTAATATAATTAGCTCGCGATTCAGTGTACTTGTTTAATTCAATAAAAATTGTTTTCCGTTCGTAATTTCATATTTTAAAGTGTAAAATGAAAATGGTAAAAAATCGAACGATTGTATAAATATAAGAATGATCGAACAAAAGATCATCTCGAATAATTTAACAATTTGGTTGTTATAACAATACAGTGATATCCCGATTGTTTCCTAAATCGAATATGAAACGACTTCTCTCAATATTCATGAATATTTGTCCGATCGCAAATTAATATAATTAGCTCGCGATTCAGTGTACTTGTTTAATTCAATAAAAATTGTTTTCCGTTCGTAATTTCATATTTTAAAGTGTAAAATGAAAATGGTAAAAAATCGAACGATTGTATAAATATAAGAATGATCGAACAAAAGATCATCTCGAATAATTTAACAATTTGGTTGTTATAACAATACAGTGATATCCCGATTGTTTCCTAAATCGAATATGAAACGACTTCTCTCAATATTCATGAATATTTGTCCGATCGCAAATTAATATAATTAGCTCGCGATTCAGTGTACTTGTTTAATTCAATAAAAATTGTTTTCCGTTCGTAATTTCATATTTCAAAGTGTAAAATGAAAATGGTAAAAAATCGAACAATTGTATAAATATAAGAATGATCGAACCAAAGATCAACTCGAATAATTTAACAATCTGATTGTTATAAAAATACAATGATATCCCGATTGTTTCCTAAATCGAATATGAAACGACTTTCCTCGATATTCATGAATATTTGTCCGAACGATTTACAGTTGACACTCCCCTGTCATTCATCGCTGTTTATCCGATCGGTTTTAGCTCCAGCATTCTCGACATAACGCGTCACCATCATGAATTTGTTGTCCATTCACGGGATCATATCTTATCAATAAGCGGAACAATGAGAATACCAGGACAGCCAAGTTCTATCACTCCAATAATCGCGTAACCTTGCCGCTCGATCTATGTGAATTGATACGTTGCTTCGATGACATACCGGCGCTATTCTCTCAGCGATTCCATATACCTTGTCAATGTTCTATTGTGTTTCTATTATGATCGCCGGCATTCATGCAACTTCCTGTTCTCGTAAAGCAATTTACAGGATCAGCTTTACATTCGCATCAAGCGTTTGTAAATTAAACGTTCGCTCAAATGTATCACTAATTAATAATCATCTGCCGATGATGCGAAATAATCTTTCGACGATCTTAAGCGAATGTTTCGATGACATGAAATAAACCTATGACGATCGCGCAACGAATCATTGATATTAAAATTAACAAAATTATTAATATTGTACATTATTAATATTGACAGAAGAAACTATTACAAAGCTAATGGTTAATTAGAGGATCGGATCGTCCAACAGCTTCACGCTGTCATAAACTGATTCTGAAAACGGGATAACGACCACAATTGAATTCTTGTGTTACCAGTTTTATCGGCATAAGCACGTTATGAAGAAACGGGTGGTGATTATGCCGAGACAGGTACCACATAATTATACACACCGTTCAGTTTTACCAAATAAACTTCATCAATTTATGGCATTAAAAGAATTGTAACTTCGATCGCTTTATTGTCTGGTACACGCGTAAAGACAGTCGGCTCAGGTCCGAAGACTTTTTATTTCGGCTCTCGAATGTGTTTATACGTTTCGGTGACATCGAGCTACCTTATTGAGAGAAGAAGTCTTACCTGTGTATCCAGTGGAGCAGGTGCAGACATATTCCCGGAGTGATTTTAAATGGCATGTGGCGCCGTTAAGACAAGGCGACGAGTCACACGCGTTGTCGATTGGTATTTCACACAAACTCGCGGTGAACCCGACTGGACAGGAACAGAAGAAAGACGGGGTGCCACCCCCGATGCTCTCTTTCACTCTGCAGGAACCGCCATTTTGACAGCGCGGACCCTTGTGGCAAGGGTTCAAGTATTGGCAATACTCTCCCACGTATATCGATGTGCAACTGAAACAAAGAGATTCCTGTGTTAACGTTTGACCAAAATAATTAATTGTATATAATAATTATTAATTATAATTATAATGAATAGTTATTATTATATGTTAAAGTTTCAATGTCGATATTCTTCGTGCATACATAAATGGTAATAAATTATAGTAAATAATTAATTGACTAAATATTTAACACGTTCCGTGCCACGTGTACCATCGATGGTACACGCTTGCATGTTTACTTAGTGAACTGAACAAATTGTTTACAAGAAATTTAGAACCGAAGAATCAATTTCCACCGCAAGAATGGGCGTTGATAAGTTTTTGTTACGTTGTTATGTGTACGAGAATTAATAATTGCACGTAATACATCAAGTTTTAGTAAAATATCAAAGTGTGAAGATTCTGTCTCTTATACACATCTAGATGTGTATAAGAGACAGGGTACACGCTTGCATGTTTACTTAGTGAACTGAACAAATTGTTTACAAGAAATTTAGAACCGAAGAATCAATTTCCACCGCAAGAATGGGCGTTGATAAGTTTTTGTTACGTTGTTATGTGTACGAGAATTAATAATTGCACGTAATACATCAAGTTTTAGTAAAATATCAAAGTGTGAAGATTCTGTCTCTTATACACATCTAGATGTGTATAAGAGACAGGGTACACGCTTGCATGTTTACTTAGTGAACTGAACAAATTGTTTACAAGAAATTTAGAACCGAAGAATCAATTTCCACCGCAAGAATGGGCGTTGATAAGTTTTTGTTACGTTGTTATGTGTACGAGAATTAATAATTGCACGTAATACATCAAGTTTTAGTAAAATATCAAAGTGTGAAGATTCTGTCTCTTATACACATCTAGATGTGTATAAGAGACAGGGTACACGCTTGCATGTTTACTTAGTGAACTGAACAAATTGTTTACAAGAAATTTAGAACCGAAGAATCAATTTCCACCGCAAGAATGGGCGTTGATAAGTTTTTGTTACGTTGTTATGTGTACGAGAATTAATAATTGCACGTAATACATCAAGTTTTAGTAAAATATCAAAGTGTGAAGATTCGAGTAAAAAAGCTCGGCACGGAACGTGTTAATTAACGTTTCAATTTTTCATAAACTTAAATTCTATTTTGCATTAAACCTAATATTAAAACGGAAAAATTTCAGGTGGTTTTATAAAAATTACACGAATGAATTTATATTTAGACTCCTCGATATTTGTTTTATATTATGAGTTGAATAAAGAAATATGTTCAATAGTTTCGTATGAAAGCATCTGCAGTTTCAACAATTTTAAAAGTGGAAAATGTGTCACAAATGTTTCGTTCAAGGCCGAACCTACCACGCTCTAAAAATAATACTCTATAGAAATGATAAAAATAAATTAATTCAGATCTTTCGTCATTTTTTTAGTACAATATACGGTCAAATTAAGATTATTCAATCACTTCCCACGAAAGAATCTTCATAATCTCAACAATTTTAAAATGAAGAATGATACCTCATCGAATGATAGTGTTCAACTTGTGGATTAAAGTTCAGAAATGTATTATTTTCCAGTTTTGAATTCCCTGTAATTGTACACTAATAAATTGAATTTTTATGATGATTTATCGTTAATTTTTCAAAGTATACAGAGTTAAATTATTTATCAATCACAACTTTAAAGACAAGTTAACTGAAATATATATTTTATATATGTTTACAATATATTGTATATTTTATATACTTTTCGAGTTAACAGAGATGCGGTAAAATTTCAAATTAGCAGCAGATACGAGTTCCTGTCATCTTAAATAATTATTATTCTGTGTTAACGTTTCAATATCAGTATTCTTTGCGTATACATAAATGGTAATCCTCGCTTAAAATTGTAACAATTATTCTTTTATTTAAGCCATTGTTCACAACGATGAAGATGAGACACATTTAGTTGATACATTGAAAGAACGTATTTTTTTGTTCATTTTTCTGATCTTCAAAAGTGGAGTACTTTCTAGATATTGGAAAACAAATAAATACTGTACTACAAAATATGAACAAACGGTTTTATTGCATTTTTCGCAAGACAATGTGCTCGAGTAAACTACATTCCCTTTGTTCTTGCTAGCATAGTCGTGAAAAGACAGTGGCCGCAGTGTCGAGCATTCCGCGAACGTTCCATAAAGTTTGCGTACCACGAGGCACCATTAAAAACGACCGATCATTCGTTTTCATCTCGTGCCATTACTTTGATTTTAATCTCCGCAGTGCACCGTCTAAAACGTTTTCCGTCCATCTAGACGGTCTCAAAGAGACCTCTAATGCCTTCTCGCGAAATGGAACGGTGATCGCGTTGCGGTCAAGGCTTCCACGAAAGGTCCAGAAAGCGGAAGACGCGATCCTTTGTGGCCAGCTCGCCAACACGTGTTATTATATCCTCCGAGTGTGTATCTAAAATTCGTGTTGTACTATTCGCGAAAAGGTTACGAGAGAAACGCTCTCAGACCGTATTTCGGCGCGTTGCTAAATGATCGAAGCAGTCCGTTCAAAGAAACGATCCACCCTCGTCAATTACACGGCTCGAGCTTCGCTCTCTCTCTGGCCTCTAATTAAACTTCGTCTTTATTATTTCACGTAATCGCTCACTTCCGTCCGCAGACGGTCAAGTGTCCACGGTAAGTGTACAATAAAAATCTGGAAAGCCTCGGAGACGATTCGAACGAAACCGCAAGGCAGGCTCTAAAGTCCGGCGCGTTCTCGCGAACATCGGCGATTTCGGTATTTAACATTTATTTCGTCCAGCAATGTTTGCAGAAATGTTTAGATCGTTTACTCGAACTTGGTATCAATAAGCATTATCTAAAAACTGGAAATGATCATGTTTCATGGAAGCAGGAAATCTTTGAAACCATACGTGCATTGTGCAGACTATTGTTTTAAACGATTTTCTAATTCTTTTATCAAATCTTTCACTTCTGTATAATTAGCTCGCGATTCAGTGTACTTGTTTAATTCGATAAAAATTGTGTTTCGTTCGTAATTTCATATTTCAAAGTGTAACATGAAAACGGTTGAAAATCGAACAATCGTATAAATATAAGATCAACGCATTTTGAGGAGCATGCGAGACTTGACAAAAGGAATTTTTCTTGGACTTTATGTCAACTTTAATTCAATGAAATATACAAAATATGAATGTAATGCATGTGCATTTGAAATTAATGCGCTTGAATTCTGATTGTACAAAATGTAGGAAAAGAGCATTAAAGCAGTAAAACTCTCGAAACGAAAAATAACTGTATTTCCTGTATTATAATTTCTGCTAAAATATGTAATGAAGTCTAACAATAATAATAATAATAATAATATATGTAATAATTGGAGTTTCAGTTTCTATATCACAAAACAGGACACCACACTTCAGGTAAACAAAATTAGAAAGAAAATGCAAAAGACAAAAATCTTATTCGAAGAATTTGATTGAAGACTATCCGATTGTAAACTAATTTCGAAGCTTATGAAAGTCGAAATTTTGATAAACGATAGTGTACGCGATCAGCTTCACAGCTACCGCAGAACGTTTCAAAAACTATCTGTGGGGTCAGTGACTGCGTCGTCCTCCGAAAAGGTAACGCCGGGCGCCCTACAGGGCCTTTATAAAGAAAAGCTACTTTCTAATGGGCCCTAATGATCCCCTGTTCGAGGGTTCGTATTGTAGTCCCTGATCGATCACCCTCTCTTTCCCGGGAAGCGGTCGATACTCGAAAGAAACGAGAAACGGGCCTCTACATATAAGGGCAACTTCCTTCGATTGCGTGACTACAGGAATCCCTCTGCTCTAGGCTGCTAGGCCCGATGATTCACTACGCCTATTTTAATAGATATCCCGCATCGAACACTCCCTCGATATTTTCTAATGACAATCCACTAACTGGGAACTGGACAGTCGACTCGAACTCGTTCACCTCGGCTTTCGAACGCGGCGGAATTATGGTGTCTACGGCGACGTGGAATCTCATGTGCGCGTCTGGTCAAGCGAGTCGTAAATTGTTCAATCTAGACACGCTGATACAATGCGTTCGCGCGGAAATGAGTCACGGTAATTTGCGTGTGAAGAACTATTAGGTCTACCGGAAAGTTCTGTCCGATAGTGTCACTTCAAGTTTCAATCCATATGCACATGTTGATTTGAGACATATACGACTATCTCTCTTTATCATTGCATTTACACACATGTACTCTCCTAAATAAACTGAAACAAAGACGTCTCATGTCATTATTAAGTGAGACGCGATCGTGAAAACATGGCTACCGATGATAATGTCAGACCACATGCTGCTTTGGCGACTCGTCAGAAAATCGCAGAGCTAGGCTGGGAAATTCTGTCGCATCCACCATACTCCCCAGACCTAGCACCCTCCGATTATCACTTGTTTCTCTCTTTGCAAAACTTTTTACAGGAAAAAAATTCAAAACTGAAGCTGATGTCAACCGAGCACTGGTTGAGTTCTTCGCCTCTAAAATTAAATCATTTTTTAAAAATGGCATTTACAAGTTGCCATCACGCTGGCAAGAAGTCATAAGTAACGATGGAAAGTATATTCTACAATAAATATTATTAAATGTATGAAATATAATATATATAATATGTTGATTTCACGTATCGCTTCGGTAGCTCGTTCTATTTTTGTAACGCTTAATCTGCCTGTTACGCTAATCCTTGGTAGAACGTAATTCCTCAGTTAGGAAATGTTTCTTTGGATCATTTTGGAGGTGTCAGCTTTTTTGGAGTTCTGCATACATTGGGTTGCTGCACATGATACAACAGTTTTTCAACTTAATGTTTACTTAAAAATCAGCCATTTCATGTTAGCTATCAGTTTAGCTATCAGTTAGCTATTTTTAGTTAGCTATCAGTTGTATAAATTCGTTGCTTAAATAATTAATTATTATAGTATAGTTATTATAGTTATATAGTATATTAGTTATATCATATTTTAAATAATTAGTTATCGTTAGTAT